AAATATTACAATAAAAGGCCATTGTAAGGCCTAAGGTAAAGTTAAAAGTTAAAAGGTAAAAGTTTTAAAAACTTTATTATAGATACGAGTACAAATAATCTATATCAATTGGTTTGTTTTTACAAAAAAAATATTTACTTATTATGAAATTTATTGCTATTATCAAAATTATCACTTATAGTGAAATACAGCTACAGCTTCATCTATTACCTCATTTTTTCATCTCACTTTTTATTCGCTTTCAAATCAGTTTGTTGCGTTTTGCCAAGGAATATTTAATTGCTAACAAGATTACACATTTTTTCAATTGGATTTTTTTATTTTTTCTCAGATTATCGAATGAACGTCTCACTTTTGAAAACAAAGTGAACAAATTTTGTTTACATTTTTGAAAAAAGCGCAATACAGAATAATTCTTCTCATTCGATGATTAGATCATACAAATATATGATAGTTACCCAATTTCTTTTTACTTGGCGGGTAAAATAGTGAAATACACAATCAGTTCTCAGAATAAGCCCCAATAAAAGTCTACAGTAGTCTTTAAAAGAGGTTAAAAGTATAAGTTTAAAAAATTTACCTTTTAAAAAAAAGAAAAAACTGAATAAAAATGCTGGAGTTAAACAGGTACATTCACATTTTGCAAGGGTTAAAGTTAGGGAGGCAAAAGAGTTAAAAATAAAATTTCGTTCTAACAAAATTAAATACTTATTAATGTCTTTCAACTACATTAAAAAAAAATGCCCTTAAAATTAGTAAAAACCCGTTTGAGATAGTTAATTGAAAACACTAGTTCCCGAGACTGATTGTAAGTTTTTGTAATAGAGAAAATAATTTCTAACTTTCTGCATTTACGAAATTGATAAATTGATTTTTGTTTGTGCGAAGACAGAGTGAAATGAACAGTTATGCTTTTTTAAAAATTTTTTAGAAACATGCCAAATATAGAAATTGTGAAATATTTGATAAAATATCTACGTAAAAAATACCTTTAATGAACTAGTAATGTTCAATTAATAATTTTACTTTTAAGTTATAATTTAAAGCTAATAATTTTACACAAATTAAAAACGTACATATCGAAGAACCTATATTACTTTATGTGAACAAAATTTAATAAATAAATCAGATTATAAAATTCATAATTATTCTAAACACAGTACAATTATTACTTTACTAGAAATCAATTTTCGTAGAACAAAATTTTTATCTATCTCCTCCACTTCAAAAGCTGTACCCCCCAAAACTCTAAAAATTCCATTTTTCAACTAATTATTGTAGTATAACCATAGGTATTTTTTAAATTTTTTAAACGCAGAAATATATTGGCTGGTTTCCTCTACCGCGGCTTACTATACTTGAACTTTAAGAAAACAAAATGGCCGCTAAAATTTACCGTTATCTGAAGTCAGTTTTTTTTCCAATTTTTGATCACACTTTTCTTCTACACCGTACGTTGTATTAGCCTGAAATTTTACATCTGTTGGACACTAATAAATAGTTTATTTCGTTAGAAGAAAATTTTTTTCCACCTCCATACCCTCTCAAGTTATCGCCTTACGAAATTTGTAAAATTTGAATATTTGGCACCTTATATTTGCGAAACCGCAAGCATTTTTAAATTTCTATAAATGCAGAAAGGTAACGGTAAACTCTATGCCATTAAAACATATAATTATTTTTCTTAACTCACACAATCAACCCCTACTAAAATCGAACATTATGTTAATCCCTCTTTAAAATAATTTTTGATTTATTTAAAAAACTGCATAAACTGGTCATCCTAAATATATGCAATCCTAGAAATAGTTTCGTATATGACTAAAAATTATTTTAATAGTGTGGAAGGTATTACATAGACTGTATTTAAAAGAAGTATTTTCACTTGTTGAAGGGAAAAATGCTACAATAAAAACCATTGGTTTGACACAACTTTATTTATATTAAGCACGATTTGTAAAAATACATATACTCTTTGTATTATTTGTCTTTTGATATTATTCTTATTCTCTGAAAAGTTTTACTAAAAGTAATATAAATAGTAAAACTATGAAACTGTTAAAGTTCCAATAATTATTATTAAAATTAGAGGTAAGAAAATAATTGTTCTCTCATACCCCTGGCTGACATCGAGTTATATTGGACCCAAAATATTTGTTCAGCTTCATACTGTACACAATTATAGCAATTTTTCAACCCGTTACCAAACAACATAATTTATATTTATATACCAACTAACTTCAAAATGTTTCCAAATTCAAAATCCTAGGTTTGTCAACATTTATTGTAATTTAGTGGCAATTTTCAATTCGAATAGTTTTGCACACACCTTGTGTTCATATACGATTTATTTTTAATATATACATATACATATGTATGTATATGCAGATACATAAGGAATATTCAAATTTCTAATATAGACCGCGGTTTTAGATGCTTTAATTAATTTAAACACGAACTTTTATTTTCTTTCCTTTGACCCAAATTTTTTTTTCACGTGTTTTGTGCTTTTCTTATTTAACTTCCTTTATTCATTTTACCTTTTATATTATAGTATATATAGTTATAGTCGTATACGTACACTAAATTCAACTAACTAGCTAGCTCCAGTTATATGATATCCAATAATTTAAAAATTATGTTTTGCTAGAGTAAATTAAGCATAAAATGGTCATTAAAAATATAAAAGGCACTTTATTTTCCTAATAATATTTTATGTTTACCTACATAATTAGCCAAGGAGTATGTGCGGCGCATCTAATGTGTATTATACAATATTGAGCTGGTAAGGAAAAAGAACGGAAAAATTGAAAACAAAATATAAGAAAAAGAAAAATAAGAGAGGGAGACGGATTTTTTTTCTTCCTCTCTCTTTCCTTTTTTTTTAACGTTCTTACTTTTTTAGTAGACATTAAAAATTTTCGCGTCTAATTAGTTGTTTTGGTATTTTAGTGTAGTAAAAGATGGTTTATTTTTTATTTTTTCTTCATTACCCCAAAACTTACGTTTCTATACCTATATGTATAATTTTATTCACCACCTTCATGTAATAATAATAATAATGGATGGAGAATATGCACGAGTTTGAAAAATTGTATTTTTATTAAGAAAGGAAAAAGGAAATATAAAGGTGTTCATAAAATTCTTTTATAAGAAAAACAAAAATGTACGAGCATTTTCCGCTTTATTCTTTAACTTTCAAAACAATTTTGATGTTCATTTAAACATAAAAAATTGTGAAATATTTTATTTATTGAAGCTGAAGATTGTATATGTATGTACATGCATACTAATATTCATTAAATAATTATAAGTATAGTGATATAGTATTGGGGTAATAAACGCTCTTCCTAATATTTTGTGGGACCAGGAATTGAATTGAAAATATGTAAAAATATTATGCAAAAGGTGTGAGAATGTAAATGTTTTTATTAACTTAAAAATTTCGTTTTGATTTTGAAAATTTTTAATTAACTATAAATAAAGAAAATTGTTATACAAAGAAAATTACGGTCCCTATTAAATAAATTAAGAAATTACTTGAGTATATTTGCGATATTTATACCCGTACAAAATTTACATTTGAAGGGTATTATAAATTTGCCATTCCTTTTGTATCGCTTAGAAATAACGGCCTGAGATATAGACGCAAGTATATATTTTTAACCAGCAATGAATATTCTGAGTCGATTTAGCCACTGAGACTCTGAATAACTCAATATTGAGCCGATAACTCAAAAACCACTTGAGGGAATTTTACCAAATTTTAGAAAATGATCAAAAGCGGTGGTGCTATGTATTATAGAAATTATTGAAGCTATAACATCGAAATTTTACACAAGCAAATATTTTCCTAGAGCTGGTAATAATAATAACGGAAACAGCAATTATAAAAATCTCTTTTTAGTCCTAACACTTCTTTATGTTTTTTAATCGAATATAAGTTTACTAGAATTAATAATTTATTACTCGTCTTTCTTAAGAATTTTGACAAATACCAATACCAATTTCTAACACAGCACAATCCAAATATTATTTTATGTACAACAACAAAACCGCTGTATTTTATTGAAGTTATTTCATTACGTGCAATTCAAAAAATTTTTTGTTTCAAATGAATATTCCAAAATAACTTTTTCATTTTATAAAAAAAATTCTAATTTTGTGTTGAAAATAAAATTTCTATCTAAATTGTTTTGAACTTTCTCTTCTTATTTGAACCCTAAAGGTATGTAATTAATTGGAATTGTTTATTGAAGTTAATTATGTATTCGCTCAGAAAACTTTAATTTTTTATTCTAGATTATTGCAAATTTTTTGCTTTAAAAAGTAATTATAAAGTGGTGATTTTAGTATAGGATAAATTTTGTAAAAAAATCAGCTTTTTAATTCCAATTAAAAGAGCCAATTAAAATTTTAATGATTTCATAAGTTTACAAATTATTTTTAGAGCAAGTACCATTATAATTTTAGTAAATGCATCAAGAGTAATGTATTATAGACTCATTTTGATTGAATTTCCTATTACAATTTACAGATTATATAAGTTTTGTAATACTTTTGGAGAAAAATTAAATTGTTTTTGTTTGCATTTTCAGTTTTGATATTCTTTTTAATTTTTATATAGCTTAAAAAATCCTATCAGTTCACTCTGTTGATTAGTATGTGTCTGTCGATTTAATAAAATAGATATTTTTGTGAACAAATGGATTTTTGGAAGAATCTTGTTTCTCCAGTAAAAAATTCTTCATAAAAAATTATGGCCTCTCAAATATTTCTAAAATGCAAATTTTTGTCACAGTACCTGTTAAATCCGTTTATTTGCCTTTACTAAATTTTCTGTCATTTTTCTTGTACAATGAAACTCAATTTTAAAAAGCTACTTCGAACAGAAGATAGGGTTAAAATGCAGACCTTTTACTTTTTAAAAAAATTAAAAGTATTTTATTTTTATACTTCAAAATATCAATATTAATTTTATAAATTTTTTTTCATTTCAGAAAATGTAACAACCTAACATCATTTTTAAGGCCGGATATCTTCAAACCAATTTTGCCGAAAGTTTTCTTAAAACAAAATTTTAACGCATTTCAACTTCAACAGCTATAAATTCCACCTGAGAAAAAAATAAAAATCAGTTGTCGCAGCTTATAAAATTCCATTTTTGTATTTAAATAGCAACGTTAATAAATTAAATTATAAGAACTAAACAAAAAAATATTTTTTAAATAATTCTCGAACAGTGTAATAAATTTTGTATAACTCTTATTGCAAAACTTATTCACAAATAATGTAAATTCTTATTTTAGTATTTGTAAATTAAGTTTCAAATTTTGAAGTTTGCCTTCCGTGAACCATAAACTTTGACTTAAATAATCTTATATTTCGAAAGCTTTCCAATTTTTTCAATTGAAATTTCATTAAAATTACTCCCGTACAAAAAATAAAAATATCCCCAGGCAATATTATTTCTAAATGATAATTTTGTCCTTTCCAGACTTATGTACAAAAAAAAAGCAAATATACATACTTACATTTAATAAGGTTATATAAATAGTTTTCTGAAACTTGAAACACAAACGCGGATCAGACGGTAAATTCATAAAATAAGCAGATAAGTATCCCGTTTTATAAATTAAAGAAAAAACCTTACAGCTAAATAAATTAACGGATCCAATAATTATTAAACGAAAACGAAAAATGTTTTTTTTTTTTTATTTTAAATATTTTTTCGCCCAAAAATTCTAACAATAATTGGAATTTTCACTTTCTAAAATTAAAAATACCGTAATAATTGCAGTCTGGATTGTTTATTTATTCATTAGAATCGAAATTAAAAATAAACAAAATTGAAATTAAACGAAAAAAAACTATGGTTTGTTGGAAAGCACGTTTTTAGTTTTCTCTACTCACTTATATTATCGGAGAATTTCCATAGTACAGAGGTTTTAACAAAATAATGAAATTGAGAGAAATGGGTTTGACCATGATGAAATGGATAGTTTTGGTATCGTCGACGTAAAGAATATGTACAAGACTAAATTTCTGCAGAAACTTTCCCGTCATTATTGTATATGAAATTTAAAAGTTGTAGTTTTGTTAGGGTATCGTCTATATAGGAATGGAAAATTATAGTAAGATTTTTATGTATGAAAGTTATTATTATTATATAAAAATCTAAAAAATCGTCGAAAGTATAAAGTTTATTGCAAATTTCAAATTTTAAATGTCATTCGAATTCGAAAATGTCAATTGAAATTGTCATGCAAAATAATGAAACGAAAAACAATGCAAGCGATATAAGGAATTGGGGCCCAGCTATGTGATTCAATTTCAGTGAAAATATTTTCGTATTCGGACAAATGATAAACGTGTATTTTTCGCCGTTTTCGCCGTTATGTTATTATTTACGAATTTAGCATAATATGCTAAATATTAAATTCACCATATTATGGTGAATGCTTAATGAAAATGCTATTCACAATTACTGAATAATATTCTTTATTCTCCTGTTCACAAATTTTCCATCTTTGTCTCACACTTATTCTACTCATATGCTTATATTCTAATGATAAAGGTTCAAGTTTGATATCATCTAAAAAATTCAACATTGACGTCAAAAACTATTTTGAATGTGGTTTTCAAGGATCCCTTTTTTTGTATATATTTTAAAATTGTTATTTTAGGCATCTTTACTAAATTGTTGGTAAACTTTATACATAAAATTAACGTAGAAAAATAAAGGAAAAAAATAAAAGAGAAGCATAGATATGCGCTGTTTAAAAATGCGTGTGAATAATATTCATGTTTTGCATAAATAAAGGCGCAATTTCATTTTATATAACAAAATTTTTTTTTTTCGTTTTTTTTTGTTACCATTTACATAAATATTTAAAAAAATTTTCAAAACTTTCTTATAAATCGTGTAACAAGACTTTGTTTTAAACCTAAAATTTTTTAATAATGTACATACACACATTACGTACTTGTACATATTGTAAGTTGTGTAGAAATGTGTTGCTAATTAGTAAATAAATTATAATTTAGGAAAGTGTGAAAATACGCAACATTTACTATGATCCGAGCACTGATATAATGTTCATTAGTGTATTCATGTAAGATTTCTGTAACTGAGTTTGTCTAAAAAACTCGTTTCGAATTATTCTTGTTATCTAATAAAATAATTTAATTGTGTGTTTATGCTAAGACACTAATTTATTAGTCTATATTCAACGGACCCATATTGGTGGTCAAATCAATTATATTATGTATGTAGTTATATAATTTTGAAATTTACGTAGTTTTTTCTAATTCACATATTATTAAACCTGAACTTCTTTGTAAATCGTATTCTTTGGTTATGGAAAAAAAAAGAATGTTAAAAGATGTGTACTCGTATAATAATAATGAGGTAATAATTTTTAATGCTTGCCTTTTGGCACAAAAGTTGTTAAAGAACAATAATAAGAAAAAAACGGAAAAAATTATAACTTAAACTTAAATAATTTATTAAGGAGCCGCACAAGATAATCAAGATAAAATACATACATAATATGTTAAGCTAAAAATATCCTTAACCGTTGTTAACTGCTTTAACTACATTAAAATTTTTTTTTTTCGTTTTTCTTTTTTATTCTGTTCTTGTTGTATTCCTTGTTTGAGGTGATTATTATTTTTAGATTTGCTTTCTGTTCTTGCAATTTTAAAGAATTTCGCATGACGTAAACTAAAAAAGAACTGAAGTATGAGGGCAAGAGTCGAAGTCAAAGTTGCCAAAATGTATTGGCGCAAAAAACTTGATTTTAAGGGAATTTCAAAAAGTATTGTTTGCAATAAGGCAAACAATAAATGCAATTACTATGCGTGAATCTCAATTCTACTTTAATATTCTTCTTTTTACAGCTCATTAATGAAAATTTAAAGTTTTTCAAGTTTCAACTGAGAAATCGTACTCACAGGCATTTTGAGTTAGTACACTTCTGATTACAAAATAATATAAATAATTTGGAAATGTTTAATAAAAAATGTGCAATTTAAAATCATTAATTTAATTTGTTTTATTTATTTGAAAATTTACTTCTGGTACTTATTATTGTCCTTTGTTACCCATTGAAAACGTAGCTTCCATATTATATTGCAACTGTATAAAACATGATGCGTTGAAATTTAAAATATTGAGTATTTCAGTACATGAGTAATTATTTAAAAATATTGTGACGGAAGGTTTATAAATTAAAATTTACATATGTAAGTTTAGATTTCGGAAATAAAATTGAGTTTAGAGACCAAAATAAGTGAAAACTACTTGTGAAAATAATGAAAAGAATATTATTTGCCCGATCTCTTCAGAATATTGTATTAAAAATTTCTAGAATATTATTGATATAGGTATTTACCTATCTCTTAATTTCGTAAATGAAACATTTGCTGAACTAATTTTGTATATTTGTATATAATTTCACCCCTTCTTCTAAAGCTCAATTTATATTTCTACAGCTTTAAATTCATATATATTTTGGATGTATACATACACTTTATTATTACGTTCTGTCAAATTCTTATTAGTCTACTCTCATATATTTTGAACATGAAAGTACATTGCATGACATGAAGATGAAAGTACAATGCATGACATGAAGATGAAAGTACAATGCATGAAGAATACTTCACCAAAATTTTTGTTTGACTATCCCTAGGTGAATGCTACTTTTCTAGACATGGTTATGAAAGTAACTGAAATCAAATTCCTGAAAGAAAAATTTGGAATACACTATGTACTCGACTCTAGAGCAGTATTCTGCGGGAATTGAGAAGATTTGATAGCTTAAGCAAGCCATAGATTTCTATTTCTTTGAGATTTAATATTTCTAATTTGTTGATTAAGATAATTAACTAGTCATTTTTCGAGAATATTAAAACTCGGAGACATAATTTCGCTAAGGAACTAAATTAAGGTAGTTTTTCAAATTTAATGTTTGAATTTTCGTTTTTATTTAACTGGCAAATTTTGCTGAGAAATAAGAAAATGTTTACATTTTTTTTTGGGTACATATGCTAAATGAAGCTTTCTATTTTTAATAGAATTTGAAATAAATTTTTAAAAGAAATTTTCCCAATATTATCAATGCGGTCGGTTATGAGCTGGCCCATCCGTTTTTTTGATACAAATCATCAAAAAATTTTATGTTGCTTAATTAAAAAACAAATAGAAACTTTCAAGATTATACGATAGACATTGCGATAACTTGGATGACTTGATAAATATTTTCTCATATTTATATAGAAATTAAACTTTGATAAATTTAAAAATTGCATTCTAATGGTAACATTTTCAATACAGTTCTTTACAAATGTTTATAACTAATGTGTATGTATATGTACATATAGTATGTCGTGTGTATTTGATTACGAAAACTGTATGCAACCATAATAATTTTTTTTCTTTAACCCAAAACAAAAAATAAAAAAGCAATTCAATACATTTTGATGTTTGCATGACAAGAAAATAATGAAATGTCATGGAAAAATGTCAAAAAATTTTCCAATAGATTTTAAAAATTTTATGTTTGTCGGAATTTTTGCCTTTTTATTTTTTGATTCTTCTATGATCTCTTGCTGTGATTGCATATCGGTTCCTAAAATGTGAAATTCTGCTTAATTTTTTTTTTATTTCAAATCATTTTTTTTCTCCTTTTTCTTCATTTTTTTGGTATGTAACAATTTTAGATGGTGAAATTTCCTTTTTTTTTAAGGATGATTATTTTTTAAAAATTTGAATATACTTTTCCTTTTTTTATTGTTTGCTTTCTTTTTATTTTTAGTGTTTTGGTATTCTCTATCTATTTTTCAATACAAAATTACCGAAAATGGGGGAAAAATGAAAAAAAAAAATTAAAGTAAAACTAAAACCGAAATGATTTTATATTTTCATTTTTATGGTTATCCTTTTGGGACTAATGACTCTTCTAAAATGTTACTTAAATTTTTTTTTATTTCTTTTATTTTTTAGTCTTTTATATTCTATTATTTAGTATAAAGAATATAGCTAAAAAATAATAAAATAGTTAAATAAAGTAAAAATAGTAAAAATAAAGATATTAAGTGTTTTTTTTAAAGCCTTTAAGGTTTAAGTCGAATTTTTTGAAAAGTTTTTAACCTGTTTTTTATTTTTCTCATTTAGGAAGATAAGTATCAGC